AATCAAAGGAAAGGTGTACAAGACAGTAATGAGACCAGCTCAGCTATGCTGTATGGGTTAGAGACTGTAGCAGTGAGGAAAAGACAAGAGGCAGAGATGGAGGTAGCAGAGATGAGGATGTTGAGGTTCTCTTTAGGAGTGACCAGGATGGACAGGATTAGGAATGAGTACATCAGAGGGACAGCTCAGGTTAGATGTTTTGAGGACAGGGTCAGAGAGGCCAGATTAAGATGGTTTGGACATGTGTAGAGGAGGGATAGTGGTTATATTGGTAGAAGGATGTTGGAGATGGAGCTGCCAGGCAAGAGGTCAAGAGGAAGGCCAAAGAGGAGATATATGGATGTGCCAAAAGAGGACATGAAGTTAACTGGGGTGAGAGTAGAGGATGCCGAGGGTAGAGTTAGGTGGAAACAGATGATTCGCTGTGGCGACCCCTAACGGGAACAGCCAAAAGAAGAAGAAGAATCCAGACTGTCTGTATATGTATATATATACATATATGTACAGGTCTCTATTTATAAGTACTTTACTCTTATTTTTGTATCTCTTTTCCTAATGCACATTCCTTTGCTTGTTGATATGTACATACACATTGAGAGCCGCTGTACCAGAGTCAAATTCCTCATGTGTCCAACACACCTGGCCAATAAAGCTGATTCTGATTCTGATTATAAACATTAACATGAGTGTATTAGCATAATGTTTTTTGATGATGCACGCGAAATTAAATCGTTATTGATGACTACATATTCTAGATATAAGAAGTCATTTTACCTTCACAAGGCTGTTAAGACAGTTTCCTTATGATTTTTGAAAAAACAACTGCTGTAACTTTTTGACAACTAGTCATATTAACAAATTATTTATTTCATGTTCACATGAAAATTATGATAAAGTTTACGTTGAAATAAAACAAGAAAACAAAACATAATCCATACCAACAGGCATGACTTCTTCAAACCACAAAGCAGAATGTGCAGAGATGTGTGGCAGAACTGTTTGGAACAGGGACATGGCAAGAAAAAACAATCTTGCTGAGTTCAAATTGTTCCAGTACATTTTTGTAAAGCTTCAGTGGAACATTTTATTGGCCTCATTTCAAATCTTAAGATGGTTTGAATCATTAAGTGCTTCACCCTGTTCAACTAAATATCACTTTCCTTCAGGTCTGTTGTCTGTTTTAGGGATTTTCTAGGCTTGGGCTTGTGGTTTTACTGCTTCAGCTGCTGCTTCTAATTTTGTTTGAAAACAACCTGGCTACATGTAATAATTCGCAAGTGTCCCAGAGAGTCTTTTACCTGGAAGGTCATCTTGTCTGTTTCTTATTGGTGGGCAGACGCTATCACCATCCTGTCGGTTGAGGTCAAGTTCTGATGACCTCAAAAAATGGCAGTAACCTTAATATGCCAACAGAAAAGTCAGAGCAGATTAACATCACAATCTGCGGTGCATTTTTAATTTTAATCACTTTTACAACTATGATTCACATATTCACACATTCCAAGGCTTACACACAGGCCAAAGCCATATTCCATCAGAAATATTCAGTAGGTCAGTATGATGAGCACTTTTACTGGCCAAGTACGTAACACACATTAGAACTTTCTGTCCGGTAAAGAATTTTCAGTGCCAAATCACACACACACACACACACACACACACACACACACACACACACACACACACACACACACTGATGGTGGCACTGTCCCTGCAAGGTGCTGCTCTGGCCATCAGGAGCAACTTGGGGTTTAGTGTCTTGCCCATGTGGACTGGGAAGAACAGGACTCTAACAACCAACCTTCTGACGAGGGGACAACCACTCCACCTTCTGAGTCATAGCTGCCTTTTGGCCGACTCAGTAAGTCTAGTGACTCACTATATGTGCATTATTTATGACATTAAAAGTCTCCTGGAAACTGCAATCAGTAATATATCACAGTTACACTTGATCTCTGCTTTTATTGTTGATATTTCTCATAAGATAAATATGGTTAAAAACTTTATGGTGATTTATGTTATTTTGATGGTTCAAGGAAGAGCTGTGTGTAAACTATCATTATTGGTCATCCATTGGTAAAGGTAGTGATACCCAGGGAAAGGGAAGAAGAAGAAAGAAAAAAGGAAGGGGGCACTGTAATGTGGTGGAGGAGAAAAAGAGAGATGAAAAATGTTTTATGCAGATGCGAAATTTGTTAAGTATGTGGACTGCATCTTAGATTATCAACTCGAGGATCTGCTGTAAGATATTTGTCCTATGTAGTTTGTACTACATGACTGGATATTCTTCTGCATGGAGTTGTCTTGCAGTTGTGTAGTGTTATGGTCTCTAGCCTCATAGCATAACTAAATAACTTGTTAGCATTCTTTAGCTAAATGAACGTGTATCGGTAGTATAGCTAACCCGGCTTACTCCCAAGACTGGATTCATCCTTTCCGACCTGGAGGTGATGGACATTATCAGAGACTGCTATGTGAGTGACCATTTGGATCGTTCAACAGAGCCCGCTACTCCGGACTTTCCCGCCACTGCTTCCATCTGGACCCGAGGGCTTGTGGCTACCTCACCATTGGGTGGCTATTGGGACCCTTTTGCCATTTCTTTTGGACACACGGAGGAGGTGACGCTTCAGTCTCTGGACTACGAACTACTAAGTAAGGTGCCTTTAATTTGGCTCTTATGAGTGTTAATTTCTGGCCTCACCGCACCCGAGCATCCATCAGGCCTGCAACAGGGATTAAATCTCAGTGTATGTGAGGCTGGTGGAGAGGGTGTGTGTGTGTGTGTGTGTGTTATGTAAGATTTGATTCTTATAGGCTCTAGTAACTAGTTACTTATTGATTAAAATACTGTATATCCAAGCTCTTGTGCTCAGTGAAAAAAAAACTGGACTTAAATTTTGAATGACAAACGATGCTTCCAGACAGGATAGTACAATACAGTGTGTGCTGTGTCTGTTTTCCACAGATGCTAGACTCTGGTCCTACAGAGTGTCTAAAATGAACAAAGCAACGCTCCCACTTCAATATTAAGCAATGCAGACTTAACACAACAGGCTGCATAAAGATAACAACAGAAGTAAATATGACGCATGTGACATTTTATTAAAGCAGAATGCCATAAGACAGTGACAGAGTACTAGACTGTCACATGCACATGTACACAGAGTGATCATCACTTGGTTTTTATGCAAACAAGTTAACAGTGAATCAGAGTTGTGAATACAAATAGCATGCTTATTTGTGCTGGTGACTGTGTGCTATTTTAGCAGATCTCCAAATACCACAAAAACCCTCTGAGGTAGTAGATGTAGGATTTTCTGTCTCGTTATTTTATTGGCTTGTTTTCCCCCCAGAACAGCACGTACTAATATAGAGTCTCATTTAGAGATAGCAAGGATGTCAGTGACATCCTCTCAAAGTTGTATTCTGCCTCACTGAACTCAATAACCCAGGGCACTCAGTCTGTTTTTGCCTTCCTGGGGATTTGGCATTGTAATATTAACAACAAGGAGCCTAAAACATCTTCATGGAGGGTTTTAGCAGCTGCTAGATTATGCCATCATATGACTACTGAGCTGGCACAGTGGATTAATGTAAAGGGTATTCTGTCTTATTCAATTTCTCTCCAAATCAGAAATAGTCAAGGAGAAGTGTGAGTATAGTAACTCTGTTTGGAAGCACTTGAAATTCTTGCTTGAAGGAGGTGCTTTGCCACTTATCATTTGCCAATTATCACTATATTTGTGTGTTTGTTGTTGTGTTCTGCAGGGGGAGTTGGATATTAATGAATGGAATAATGCCTCAGATTAATTTCCGGCCCTTTGAGCTGGCACGCAGTGTGTTGCAGAGACAACAATGTCTACCTGCAAAATCTGCTCATTCCACATTCAGTCACTGTGCACATGTTGCCTCTTCACTCCTCCAATTGAGACTGGAGATGTCACTCAGCATTCCCAGCTGAGCTTGGTGGCATCCGGTATTTTAGTTTTTTCTTAAGGTGGAGGAATTACTGGAGCTACAAATCCAGGAAAACCAGTGTGTGTGTGTGTGTGTGTGTGTGTGTGTGTGTGTGTGTGTCCTGCATTAAATAGTAATCAGATGGCAGATGGCTGTTTTGTAATGATTAGTGTTTAATGATTTGGAGAAAACAGAAGTAGTTTGCAAAAGTGCACAAACAGCAAATTGTAAGCATTAGCTGCTGTAGGCTATGTTTGGAGGCAGGATAGCACTGTGTAGCTATCAGGGCACAGCTTGCATTTTAACTGGGAGTTGCACAACACGAGTGGAACTGGGGAAGCTGACGTTGGTTTTGAGGAAAAAAATACTTTTATTAACCAACATTATGAGTTTAGTTGGAAACTTTAACAGGTTGGTGTGCTAACAGCTACATATAGTGTTTTTTTGTTTAAATTATTATTATCTGGAGTCCTCTACAGTCTTTCATGCCAGCTACCACACAGTATAACCTTGGAAACTGAGGTGCAAAGCTCAAATGCGGTTCAGAAACAAGCTGGTCACAGCTGCGGTGAAACAGATAAAAAAGTTATCTTCAAGTGCTGTTTTAATAGTGCAGGTCCCAGCAACCACTCACTGAGCAGCTATTCTCTTGGAAATATGACAAGAGGAACTAATGTATCTGCTTACACTGAAAATGACATTGCTGAAAAAAAGATGATTGTAAATACTGTGGTATCAAAAATGGGTTTTAATTTAATGAAAATGTTACAAAGAGGGTAACAGGAAAAAGTGAGTCTCTGTTTTCACTGTGTTCAGTTCTGTTTTCAGTATTTCTGTCATCCAAACATTTATTTTAAAGAAACTCATAATAAAATTAACTAAAATCCTAACTGATAAATTTTCCCCTTCAACTATTTAATAGTTCTTTCCAGAAAGCATCCTGGAAAAGCAGGAAATTATCAGAAAATTACAGACATGTAACATATTTCTGAAGTTAAAAGTCTATAAGTCCTGCTTTAAAAGCTTGTAAAATTCTGGTGGGGAAATTAGATCAGAAAACAGAGCCAGTGCCTAAAATGGGATATCATGGGATTTGTTAACAATATGAAAATAAACTTTAAAGATATTGTCTTATATTGCAGCTATAATTTCTATGGCAAGTTGTTTCATCGTTGTCATCAAAGTGATCACAGTGTATTCTGCTTAGATGAACAATGGCTGAATTGTCTGCCTTTGAAGCTGTCAGAGCGAGTGCTTTGGCCTGTGCCTCGCTGATTTGATTAACTTATTGATGAATTTTCAGCGGGGGCTGATAATCAGTGCATGTACTGCACTGTCCATGTGATGTAGCCATATACTGGTAGAGATTGTTTTGGTGGGAAGGAAACCATATTAAGTCCCAATTCCCTGAACTGTGAGCCACCATTTAATCAAGCACATAGTGTTCATCCTCCTCCTTACTGCTTACCTAATGCACTGCTAGAGTAGTGAGCAGCTCCTTATTATGGATCTGTAACAGCAGGTAACACATAACGTTATCTTACAGCTTAGTGAGTTAGCGAAGCAATGAGGCAGCTTCAGCTAGCTTAATCCATGCTGAAGAAATCACAAGCTGTACATATTCCTCTGTCTCAGTCTTCCATCTGAAGACCTATAACTGGCTTATGATAACTGCCACTGCCAGTGGTCACCCTGACACACACCACATTTCACAAAGTATCAGCAAGGAGAAGAAAACAGTGTCATTTCTTCTCTTTTCAGGCCATGTGCAACAGTGGCCAGCTAATGTATTACGTTAGAGTAGGTTAGTTCGAGTTTTTCAGGAGTGCTTGACTTTACTGCTTGATTTTCTTGTGCTTTGCTCTGCTCTACACTGTCAGTTTTAGAGGACTCGGGTTCAGATTTCCTTTAAGATTTATAGGCCCTTCTTTCTCGACACTTGGCAGGAATCGTATAACACATCTTATTAGAATAATTAAGGTGGACAGGAGTGTTTCCCTGCCAACTGAGAGGACACCTTAGACTCGCTCTGTTTGCACAAATTTAATTCTAGTGTTGGGAAAGGACACTGGGATAAATGTCTCTGCTTATAGCAAGTGAAAAATCAAACCAATTTAATACTGAAAAGAGCGCATCCTAGACATACAGTACAACATCCTTAAACAAAGTGGTTCCATCTATTACTTCACTTCAAAAACATTTGTTCTTGTTGCATACCCCCTTAGCAGTTAGTAAATGTGTGATACCTGGCATTTAAAGAGTTATCTACCCCAAAAACAAAAAAATAAGGGATGGATTAAGAAGTCTAATGCATGCCATGTCCTACTAAGTAGCTTACAATCCAGTAACTGTGAGTATTACTTCCAAGGCCAAGGGGTATATCATTAACCAACTACTGTACATTAGTATGTGGAGCTACAGGTTGCATAAAAATACTCTGTGCCCACTGTGTTGGCTGAATGCTGTCAGCTGTACAGACAGCTGGATTGATCCAAATAGAAGTATACTACCTGTTCTGTAACAGATGCTTGAGATGGACCAGTGAAAAATGCGGTTGAAGTGCTTTCTATGTAGCTTTCTATGTGCCTTTACATTCCAGCACTAAGCTTGCGAAACACATTCCTCCTCATCCTAAGAGTTCCTCTTTGTAACATTAAAAACTTATCCTTGGAAATGTGAACAATTAAGTTACCAGAATGTGAGCTTACTTATTTCCATATAGTTCTTAAAAGATTAACAAGAACCATAATGAGGATCCTGACCTTTTGCCTGGAAGATAATGTAGAGGATATGTAGAAATTAAGAGTGTGAAAAAGAGTGATTTTTGCTGGAAACAGATGGAAATTTAAGTCAGCCAGACACAGCATTTTCAACCAATTAATAGAGCTAATTTTAGTTTAATCAGCTAGCCTCTGTAGCTACAGCTAATACAATCTGCCTTTGACAGTTGTCTTTTTAACTGGGAAAACTGCTTTTGTCCTCTGTCTGAAAATAAAGACCATTTTAATTTTAGTGGTAAATCTGCCACCATTATAAACACAGTATGCAGAAATATCTCAGGGTAGCAACAGCAATTAGGGGAGCTGGATTTAGAGAACGGTCACTAGTTGCTAATGAAGGAACATAAGGATTAAGACTACTACTTTTTGTAAGTCATAATAGATAGAATTGTACTCATTTCTGTAAGTTAAAATGAACTGCAATTAGCATTAACATTTATATTGCATTATATAGCATCACATTAATGTCACAATAACCCAACATCTAAGCTCTGGTATAATAAAACCAACCTGTTCTGCTAAAGCTTCACTTCTTAAAGAGAGTGGACTGAAACAGTATCACACTTTTAAGCCCGCTAATATGAGGAGTGGTTGTAATGCACAAGGGAACATGCACCTCTGAAAGATGTTTCAGTGACTCTGTTTCTGTAATGACGAGTGTGTGTATCTTCTTCTGATGTCTCTCCATGTCAGTTTTTGCAGCAGTCAATTGAACAACTTAATACTGCACACATGCAAGGGTTCGGTTTCAAAGCATTTGATACACTTTACTGCAAAGACTGTCAGCATCTCATTTGCTTTTGACTTGTGGCGTGTTTTGGTTCTCAGGGCACTTTGTTTAAATGCTGTATAGTTGTAAACTCCACGGCTAAGATTTCCTTTAGCGGTTTCAGACAGTGTGGATTAAAAGTCAAAGGAGATGGTTCATGTTTGGAAGTGCTGGGGAAACACTGAGCTTTTAATTGCTGTTAATGGAAAATGCTCCCGATGTGGGTGTGAATGCATTCAGGCCCACTGAGTATTTGCCTGCATTGGTTTTAATGAGCGGAGACAGTGTACCTCTAAGACCTTAAAGTAACAGTCAGTACTAAATCCCTTGTCATAAAGTCCAAAAGAAGCTGAATGTGTACACTTTCCAGCAGTTTGTCACCACGTGTTTACGAATGTATTTCCTTCAAAATGATCACGGGTTTCAGTGCTGTGTGAGCAAAGCTCATCTCACAAGGTCTTTTAGGTTAAAAGCACAAAAGTATAAATACAGCATGCGAGGATTGGATGATAGGACAGAAGAAATTGTGATTTAACAAATTATTCTTTCTCTTGTGTTAATGAGAACCACACATTATGTGTGCTGCATTAACAATTTCCACGTTTTTGTGTCAAACAGGAGAAAAGGCCCTTTGTTTCATTTGCATTTTACAGCCTTCTACTTAAAGAGAAAGTCTTTAAATAAAAACATAATATAACTGACTAATAAAATTACAATTTAAATATGCAAAGAAGATAATGTAATTTTGCAGATATTTGTTCCTTAACAGTCAAGATGATAACTACGTTCACACCAATGGGTCTCATACAGTCCGTTCTGCAGCGTGCATGAGTCACACCGTCTCAGCTGACAGAAGAACTAAAACTGTGAGCCAGTTTCAGAAATGTCATCATTTATCTGATTTGTCTCTGCCATGCTGTTGTATTGTTGCTTATTTGTTTGTCATATTTACTGGTTGTCTTCTCTTTTGGCAGGTGATGACTGGGATTATATCATGTCTGAAGTACAGGGAACACTGGAGTTTTCTGTAGAGCTGCACAAGTTTCACAATGTGGATCTCTTCCAAAGGGGGTACGTCATTTCTCTGTGCAGAAATCACATGACCAGAGTCATGACTGTTGTTTCTTTCCTGTACTGTTAAAACTTTCATTGTAAAAAACAGGGTTGCCATTATATTACTGTAAAGTTAACATTTTACACTCACTAAAATTTACCGTTTTGTATCATTAATGAAAAATAGTGTATATAATGGTTTTTTATTTCTTTAACAGCATTTTACAGTAAGCTGACTTGTTTAAAACTACATTATATATCTGTTTTTAGAGTATCTTACAGTTGATTGATTTGTTTAAATGAACTAATATTAAAAATATTAAATTAAACATTGACTTAGCAGGTTACTCATATAGGAATAGTCACACTACATACAATTAAAGGCACTTTTGTCAAGAAAAACACTGTAATAGACCTTATTGGTTGTCAGTCTTCCCAAAATCTTGATCCAAAGTTGGCAATATAGCACAAACCATACAAAAATGTTTTTGTTAGTGAAGGACAGAACTAATGCCCCAATGCACTGAAACAACAGCTTCTCATTGCACTTTACTTTTTATTTTAATATGATATAAAATTGGAAACTGCACCAGCAGAACACTTGCATGTTAAACATGCACTAACAAAAACCTGAGACAGAGCTTTTGCTCTCAAAAGTCCACATATGTATTTGACAATGGCAGGGGAGTGAGTTAGTGACTGACTCATGGTCCACTTGAAGCGGGTCTCTCAAATCCAGCCTTGGTAGAGAGAGAGAGAGAGAACTTTCATTTCAAGAAAGAATACAAGGTGTAGGAATAGCTGGTGTGTTGATAAACACAATATAAGAGATAAATGAGATTTAGGAAACTCGCCATCTTTAAAAGTAGCTGTACTCAAAGTCCATGAGTCTCCTCAGCAGAGCGGATACATGTGGACTGGAGAAGGAGTTGCAGATATGAAGATTGTCCTCTCAATGTCACCTGTACTGACAGATCTCTATAGGGCTCTCGCCCAGTGTCAGCTGGGAGAGAGCCAGGGTCCACCCTGGACAGGTCTCCAGTCTGTCACAGGGCTGACATGTAGGCAAACAAACACACACACTCACACTCAATCACTACAGGCAATTTAGAGTCGCCAATGAGCCTAAGCTGCATGTCTTTGGACTGTGGGAGGAAGCCGGAGTACCAGGAGAGAACCCACGCAGGCACAGGGAGAACATGCAGACTCTACACATAGAGGTTAAATTAATTTATTATACTAATTTCAATATAAATACAATAGAGAACACAATTCCCCTCTCACCCCTAAAGGTACTAGTGACTCGGTACAGTACCTCTCCAGTTTCTCATACTCCTTCCTGATGTTTTTGTCAACTGGGACTGCTATATCTTTCACCACTGAGGCCTTCTGTTCCTTGTCTACTACCACAGTGTCCAGTTCTTTAGCCATTACCTACCTGTCCATCTGAATCTGGGAATTCCGCGGCATCTCCCGCTTGGACCGGGGAAAGTCTGGCTTACACTCAGTACAGATGTTTGTGTGCACAGTGCCAGCTACTTGGTTGTGCTGTTTGATGTATGCTGTTCCTACTTGCATTTTATACCCTGCCGCTATGTGTTGGAATGTCTCTGAAAGCTCTCTGCACAGTTTGGACCCCTGTGTGGTAGACCCCTGCCTCTATTGATCTGGTGCTCAGCACCTGTTTTTGTGCTGCTATGATCAGTGCCTCAGTGCTGTCTTTTCCAGCCACTGCTAAGATTTCCCTTGCTGGCTACATCAGCTCAGAGCTTTTAAGATAGACGAGCTGTGACATTGAAGGGTCAAAAACAGTAGCAGGTCATGTGACTCATATAGCTTCAAATAGTTCCAAACAGTCAATTCAGGTTCAATGTTTTCTGTAGGGAACAGCAGGATTTATCAGCAGATTAGTACTTTTAATGACTTGTACAGCCTTGCACACTAATTCTGTGTTCTGTTGTTGAAGCTAGCTCAGCTAATATAACCTAATAATCCTAATTATTAAAGTGACCCAGTAGTTGAGGGAGCTCAGTAAAAGTTAGTAAACATATATAAATGTGTTGGCACATGTTCTTATAGAGTCAGTGAAGATGGCATCACTCTTCTTCTTGATCCACTCTGCCTTGGCTACCCCTCGATAGGCGTCTTGCAGTGTTACTGCCTCTGCTTGATCCTCATTCTCTGTCTGCTGTTGCCTCAGGCAGTCAGCTCATATGTGACCTTGACCCTGCCCACCCTCTATATCTAAATAAAGAATAAACAGCACACAGACAGACCACTGGCAAAACTAGTATATTTAATCTCAATCAACTAGCTAATCAGAAAATTAGAAAAAACTTTTTTTTTTTAATAACAAACTGACTTGTTCAATCGACAAAAAAACTTAAAGGTATACATCTTGAATCTGCATATCGTCTCATTAGGTTCAATGGCTATTACTGTATTTGTTTTGGGCAAAATCATCCCAAGTAACCTGAAGGTATTACAGCTTTTCTATCACCGTCTCTACAGTGACATGAGGATGATAACACAATATACAACAGATAAATTACATTATAGAAAAACTAATTTATCAATAAGATGAATAGTGAGTGTAGTTAAAGAGCTACAATGTAAAATGGTGACATAAAAAGGTGCATGTTTATCCTGCTATGATGTGGGAAGATTAAAACTTCTTATCTGATCAGCCTCTGGCTTGCTAAAACACCAGCCTCACCAAAATGATTTCCCACTCCAAGTGGGGCAGGCTAAACCTCAGCATGTTAATCCCCTCAGCTGAGTGCACTAGTATATTTGTTGTTGCCAGTTGCCATGTTGCTTTAGATGGCAGCAGAAATCGAATGTGAGCACTCAAGAGAATTGGATCCCAATGTAAAGCTGAAGCAGTGTGGAATAAGAAGAGCTTAGTTACCGGGACCTACTGTACCATCTCCCCACACTGAGATGGAATCACTGAAATTAGCGCTAATCGGTGCACCAGACTGGGGACCACGCAGCTGTACACTTAGGGGCTCAGTTGCCACTGATTTCATTAAAATACTGATTAAATCTGAATCTCACTTATTCCAGTGTATTTGTACAAACACTATTGATGTTTTACTGTCCTTCAGTGTCAGTTTACCAAAAAATATTTTAAATGTGTGACTTCCAGTCGCTTACACCTTATGAGTAAGCAATAATTTAAACATTGAAGACAGAGGTCTATAAAATGCAGTAGATTAGCTTCACTGAGCAGACAGCTTTCATTCCCTAAACATTCCTGGTTTTTTTTATTGACCTTCAAAAGCCTTTTCTGTGCTCTGCCATGCATCCACCTTTAGGAGCACAGGCGCTAACGTGCTAGTGTGACAACCATGTTCACAGCTATGCTTTGGTCTCTCAGACAGCCGATGTGTCCCCAGTGAGCTGCTGTGCATTTACACAAAGCTGCCTTGGCCTGAACTGTCAAAGAGACCTTTTCAAAAACAGGTTTTACACTGCTGCCCATGTGTGTCATATAAATAATCTATATTTAAGTCAAGAAGAATGTTCCACTCTGTTTTTTTTTTCTCACAAAGCTCTGCCATTCATTTTCTTTCTTCTCAACTACTTTTCAAACTGTAATAACCTCTTTTCCTAACTGGGATCAAAATATTTGCCAGTGTAAAATTCTAGCACCACTAGCCTTTAATAATTTGGCTGCATTTCCACAACTCATTGTTAACTTGTCACCCATGTCACGAAAAGCATTTTTGAAAGTTTGAAGCCACACTTGTCAAGTTTATTATGTGGAAATTCTCTGAAAAAAAGATTTTCATTGATGTATTTTGTCCCACTGGCACATAGAGTATAATGGTGTCAAGCAGTGAACAATGTCCACCCACAGTCAGTGAGAGTGAAAATGAAAATACCCATGAAGCAGTAGTGAGCACAATTACCCTGATCACAGGGCATCGCGTACTTTTTACTATCCACATTTTCTTTTCAATACATTCAGGCCATTTAGGATATTAGCATGTAACTGATTTCCTTTCAGTCTGAAGCGTGATTGTTATGTTTGTCTTCTCCCTCTCAGGTTCTACCAGGTACGAGCAGGGCTGAAGGTCTCGCCTCGAGTGCCCCACAGGCTGATAGCAACAACACCAGGAAATACAGGTACAGCACATACTACACACACACACATGCTCACACATACTGTAATATATTTATAGATCACATACGTATAGTAGACTCTACCATTCTGACCGCTCTATCCTCGTTCTCATCTGTGGATAAGCTGGCAATTTACTGTACTGATTCTTCATAATTCTAATCAGGTGTTGCACTGTTGCTGGATGAACTTGTGGGCTGATAATTGTTTTAAAGATAGCGAAGTCTGAGGATATTAGGTTTTACAGGCAAGAATCCATATTCAGTAATGAATGAATTATGAGACAACAGGCCCCTGGGCAGAGACATGTAAAAGCCCCCTACCCCACCCCACCATTCTAACAATGTAAGAGCAAGACACTCAAACATAAAGTGGTTCGTTTTACATCTCTTTGTGGTTCTCTGTGGTTGTAGTAGACCTTTTTCTAATCGATTTAAAACAGTGTGTGGTCATTTTGCATTTCTTTCTGGTCATTTTGCGGTCATTTTGTGTGTTTGCAGTCATTTTGCATAGTCATTTTGTGGCTGTATTGTGTACCCATTTTGCATCCTGTGTCATTTTTGTGCTTCCACTATTGACAAGTTATGATGTTAGTTTAACTCTAGCCTCTATAGTTGAGACCACATTTGACCATGTTAGGGTTCGCCCACATTAAAATGTGTCCAAAAAAGAATGAGTGTGAGAAAATCCCACTTGACACAGCTTTATGTCCACGCATTCTGTGTCTCTGTGTGAAAACAGGAATCTTTCACAGTGATTTGTGGTAAAGTACATGGCAGTACAGGCAGCACTATTATTCTGTGCTTGTTCTGGGCTAAACAATACCATACATTTTCAGTACATGTGGATGTGGAACATCAGCAATGTTCTATAGTCATCTCACAGATTCATTCCTTCCCATCTAATCTATATTTCTGACAACTGTGGATTCAAAGGGGCTTCAATTAGAGGTGTGACTAAGCCTTCTCTTAAAATACATGTAGAGCTATCCACAGATGCCAGAGGAAAATGAAACAACCATATACTGTGTTTTGACACCTGTTTATTCATGCATAGTTTTTACCCAAGACCTTATTAATTTATGGTCAGAACTGTGTTAGTTATATTAATTTGTGGGCAAAACATTGAATTTTTTAAAACATTTTCTTGTAAAATAAAAGTATATTCATCAGTGGTAATACTGTAGAAAAGCTGCAGTCAGCTAGGTAAAACACCAGCACTTAACTTAACGCTCTTCATGTTTTACATCCTTTAATTTCTAGATACAATTACTTGCAGATGGTTTTTAAAGGGCTCCTTGCATCTTTTATATTCACAGGGTGTCACACAATGTTTCTGAGCCTACAGGCATTAAAATCTGGATCAGGGAGCCCTTTCACTGGCAATACTGATTCACAGTAATAATGGCTATTTTTAACTTGTCATGACTGGAGCGCCATGCGCGTGCTTGTAGTGTAGCTGTACTTCTGAGGACCACTGGTTGACAGTGTAGCCCGCTGTTCTCGTGAGGCCATTTTGGACACTGATTGTGATTTCAGGCTCAGTTTTAGGTTGTGTGAAGACATGGACTTTAGTTTTAGGTATGTAAGATAAATGCCACAAGGGAGATCGTTAATGTGTCAGCTCCAGTGTTCTCAGAGGAATAGCAGAGCCAAAATGTGTGCATGTGTGTGTTTGGCTGACTGTGAGGTGATGTGTGTGTCTCAGTCTGATGTGTGACAGTAATTGAAGTTATTTTGAGTGTTTTCTCTAGAAACACATTCACAGGAACACTAGCAGGGAAGGCGATTTCCTTACCTTATTATGGATGTCCTTAGTAGCCAAAATATTAATGGATTGTAATGAAAATGCTAAAAATAGCAGTACAGTAGTGTTGCACTCCATAGTCTATTTTTAGAGAGCTAAACCCTGGAGGTGCAGTTTTACATGATGTCAGCTGAGGAAAAGAAGGTAGAGGATAGCATGGAGAAAGCGTTAGTAAAAAACCCCATCTTTTTATAACTGTACATTGCCTTCGTCCAGTCAGAATGTCTAAATCCATGACAAATTCTTCAGTTAGCATAATATACTCAGTCAACAGTAATTTTTGTTCATCCTGAGAGTTATCCAGCTGTGAGTCAGCAGCACAAGGAAACATCAGTGTGAAAAGACATAATTTATCCTACTTTGTAAGATTTTTTTCTCTTTGGCTAAATGCTGCCATTTTGTGAAATAAGAGAGAGTGAGTTGAGAAAATGGATATCAGTGACCTGCAAGCAGACAGATATAACACCAGCGAATCGCGTGACTATGTGTGCAGTATGTGACCTCACCTGTAGTGACAAACTGCTATTCCCCTCAGCTCTATGGCTTATTTTAGTGTCAGCTTCATATTTTTGACTTTTTTGGTTCTCACCAATTTTCTCACTGTTGTTTTCTTACACAGCATTTATTTCAGGGTTAAAGCTCTGTGTGCAACCTGCCCATCATTAAATAGCAGACAGACTAAATTAGCATCTAACTTGTAACACAGTGGAGCATTTAACTGCTAAAGAGCTAAGTATATCCATCAGGACTTGGTGGCGACCAAGACAGTGGTAAAAGGAAAGTGAATGTTATCAGACTTACATCCACAGCACTAGCGAAGTAAAAAAAAAAAAAAGACTTTGGGTGTGCCTCAGAAAAATAAAGTGCAGCACATCTTTTCCCCCTGCAATTCAGAATAGGTAATAAAGCTAAACAACCCCTCTGTAAAGTAACAGACTTCCTGTTTTCGTGTATTTTGACTTTGCATGCAATAAATTAGCCTGTTCTTATGCATAGCAGAGACTCTGACTCTGACTCTGACTGATAAATTTAGCATGACTCATAGGCCAACATTTAATGACACTGATATGAAACTGTTGAGAAACAGCCTGCATGTGCAGGTTGATGGGCAGGACATCATGTCTTGGCCTGAAAGTATTCAATTATTTCATGAAACTCCTGTTTTTAGGTTCCCTTGATTATGGTCACTCTGCAGCTGGATTTTATGACGGTCCATGGCGCAGCTAACGAGTAATCAAAGATCAAGATCAAAGACTTTTATTGTCAGTTGACTATATGTGCAGGACATAGAGAAAATTGAAATACCATTTCTCTCTCACCTAGTATTGAATGCCATACCATTTAGGAAACTAAAATAGAATAAAAATAGACTAAAAAGAATAAGAAAATGAAGTCAGTCATTTTGGATAAAGCTAAATGATACAACCTACTAGTCTATGACTGAAGCCATATACAATCAGTGACAGTAGTAAAAATAATAACAAGAAGATTGTCAGATGGTTGTGAGATTGAGATGCACATGGACAGTAGAGCAAATGACCAACAGCAGCAGATTTACATGTAATATAACAAGAAGGGGGAATGTACTGGGTTTGTGCAAAACAGCAGAGGTAGTCTTTTTATGTTTTGTGGTGGGCCACAGTCCAGGGGGGGAGGGGGGAGGTAATGGACAGTGTTCAGCATCCTCATAGCCTGGTAATGAAGCTGTTTGTAAGTCTGGTGGAGTGGGCCTGAAGACTCCGATACCTTCTACCTGAAGGCAGGAGTCTGAAGTGGGAGTGTGAAGGGTGGGAGGTGTCATTGTTAGATCGGCTCGAACACCGGGTGAGGCGGGTGTTGAAGATGTCCATAAGGGAAGGCAGAGGGGCACCG